GGCCTATACTTGATAGAGGAACTCTGTTGACTCGTTAAATGGGATAAATGTAATAATCTAGGATAGAGGCCGGGTGGTGGTGGCGCACACCTTTAATCCCAGCACTTGGGAGGCAGAGGCAGGCGGATCTCTGTGAGTTCGAGACCAGCCTGGTCTACAGAGTTAGTTCCAGGATAGGCTCCAAAACCACAGAGAAACCCTGTCTCGAAAAACCAAAAAAAAAATAATAATAATCTAGGATAGATGCAACAATCTAGCACAAGATTTTTGTGGCAGAGGGGTGTGGGAGCACTCACTACTATCACACCAATTTTTCTGTAAACCTAAAAGGAGTATAAGCAGCATATAGTATCCCACATCTGGAATCCCAGCAGTCTGGTGGTGTGGGAGTCCCTTCTGTGTGCTGTGATTATCATTAGTGAATAAAGAAACTGCTTTGGACCTATGGCAGGGCAGAACTTAGCTAGGTGGGGAAAACTGAACTGAATGCTGGGAGAAAGAAGGGTGGAGTCAAAAAGATGCCATGGAGCCGCTGTAACTTTGCTGGTAGGCCACGACCTTGTGGTAATACACAGATTAACAGAAATGGGTTAAATTAATATATGGGTTATCCAATAAGAAGCTAGAGCTAATGGGCCAAGCAGTGATTTAATTAATACAGTTTCTGTGTGATTATTTCGGGTCTAAGCTAGCCAGGTGGCCGGGAACCAACAAGCAGCCTCCCTCCAACACTCTGGAGATGAAAACAGGAGGATCAGATGAACAAAGTCACCCTGAGCTACACAGTGGGTTCAAGGTACCTGAACTAAATCTTTTTTTTAAATGTTTATTTATTATGTATACAATATTCTGTCTGTGTGTATGTCTGCAGGCCAGAAGAGGGCACCAGACCTCATTACAGGTGGTTGTGAGCCACCATGTGGTTGCTGGGAATTAAACTCAGGACCTTTGGAAGAGCAGGCAGTGCTCTTAACCACTGAGCCATCTCTCCAGCCCCCTGAACTAAATCTTGTCTCAAAACATTGGAAAAATATTTCTGTAAACCTCAATGTAGTAAGTCACACCTGTAATCTCAGCACTAGGGAGGTTCAGACAAGAGGATCTACTCAAGTTCAAGGTCAGTCATTGTCCCACCATGCCCCCACACAAAGGGAAAAAGTAGTTTATGGCAAAATGTAAAACACCAATGCTTTCAGATTGTCTGTGTGAGTGAGCACAGCTGGTAGACAAGGCAGACTGTGCTGGGGTAGAGGCTTCTGCAGCTGCACCGCGAGCTCCGGGAACCTTGACTCTGGTCCATTTATTCCCCTTGCCTGTTGGCACAGGAGTTGGAAGTACAAAGCCTTGCCAGGTGGACTCCAGTTTTCCCTTTGTTCCCAGCTCATTCTAATTCCAAAGTTCATTGTGCTTGGCCTCTAGAGGAGGTGGCCCAACCCTACCTTCGGCTGCCTCACTCCTTACAGAATCACTATAGGGGTGACAATCTCCATCTAGTCTTCTCTCAGTCCATGGCCACCTCAGGCCTGGGAAGGTACTAGATTCAACTTGCCAGCCTTACTTGCCAGCCTCTACCACAAGGGCCCTGTGGCAGCCCTCTCCCAGCTTGTTCCTTCTGTTCTCAGCTTCTACCCCAGCTCCTAGGGGCTCCCAGCACAGTTCAACGTCATTATGACTGGAACACCAGGGCCCCAAAGTGCTAGTTAGGACGATCTTGTGTTTATCAGCTCAGATCCTGGGGAGTCCACCATGCTCCTCCCTAGCAACTGCACCTTCCCCCAGTAGGAGTATGCTCTGGAGAGTGCCTGCCCAGGATTGGAAAGGCTTTTGTTCCCCCTAGTGCTCTGCACCTCCTAGGAACTCTCACTAGACACATGAACTGACCCCATCAGGGCACAGGCTTCTGAAGCACAAATTCTAATCGTTCTTAATAATAAAAACCCAGAGTCAGCTATCAGGGGTGAAAGCTGAAGGATCAGAGAAGCAGAGTGGCCAGACACTAGAGAGTTCTTCCCTCTACCAATGCTCAGACCGCAGGGGTGATCCTGTCTCTATGAAGCCTCAGACTGCATGCTCAGACTGGCTGCTCCTCTGACTACTTGTCCAGACTACTTCAGACTGTACTGCTTCCTGTCTCCTCCTGCCTGCTATTCCTCTCTCTGCCCAGTCATATCACTTTCTGACTTCATCTCCATGGTGCTGGCATTAAAGCTGTGAGCCACCACCACCTGGCGCTATTTCTCTTTGAGGGTGGCCTTAAACTCATAGAGATCTGCCAGCCTCTGCCTCCTGAGTGCTGGGATTAGAGATGCTGGCCACCACTGCCTGGCTCTGTTTCTCTTTGAGACTAGATCAATCTAGTGTAGCCCAAGGTGGCTTTAAACTGACAGAGATTTGTCTGCCTCCTCTGTCCTGGAATTAAAGGTGTGTGCCACCACCACCTGGCCTCTAGTGGCTTATTTGTTAAAACACAAACAAAAGCTGGGTGGTGGTGGTGCATGCCTTTAATCCCAACACTCAGGAGGCATAGGCTGGTGGATCTCTGTGAGTCTGAGGTCAGCCTGGTCTACAGAGCAGGCTCCAAAGCTACAGAGAAACCCTGTCTCGAAAAACCTAAAACACACAGACAAAATATGCCTACACACTTCCACAGTTTGGAGCAAACACCACAGGCACTCCACCTGGTTGGCTCTGCTTTTTAGCTTCTTGGGAATGGTTTACAGGTGGCTGACAGGGCAGTTGTCACCAGTGTCTCCTTCTTTAGAAAGTGAATAAAGAAATAGAACCAATACCACTGCAGGATGCCAGTGGGCCAGTGTAGCCCTAGCCCAGAGCTAGCCACTGGGGTATGGAGATGTTCAGGCCCCAAGAAGATTAGGTGGGCAAGAAAACCGCTGCAGGATAAAGGCTGGCTGCAGGGAATTGCAAAAGATTAGAGGGGAGCTCAAAGGTGGTGTCATTACCAGGCAAGGGACAAGTGGGACCCCATGGAATCAGGTTTTGAGGTCTACCAAACTTATTCTCCTGAGATGTAGAGGCCCAGGAAACCTCAAGGTCACACCAGCTATTCTCAATGTCATTTCATTTGTTTCCCAGATCTCTACGTCCTGGCCACCTTCTGAGGCCACAAAGCAGTGCCTGCCCCAGTGCCTAAGCATGGGTGACTGGTACCTTAAAGTGCCTTTTGTGCCGAGGTGAAGACGATACTCCTTACATTCCTGTACCTGGGCTTGGCACATGGCCTTACCCAGCTGCTCAGCACAGGCCCAGGATGGAGGGAGGCCTTCACCCTTGCACCCAGCCTTGACTTTTTCACCTTTGGACCTCCGCACACACTGCTGTGACCATCTCCTCAAAGTGTCATCGGCTCACCCCCATGTTTCTCAGGCCACTATATTCTTTCCCTCCCACCCCGACTCTGGACAAGAAGGGTCTTAAATCCTCAAGAGTAGCCAGCATCCAATCCTGTCTGCTCTCACTTCCACAGGTTGACTTTCCTATGGTTGACTGGTCTCCACCCACACCTCATCCAGGTCACTGCTGCCGCAGTTCCTTTCCCTTTGCAGGTCTCACATCTGCACACTCTAATCCTTCTACTACAATAGAGTCCTCTGTATCCATTCCTTGGCATCCGCTTCTTTCCTCTCTTAAATGCCCCTTGTTCCTTGGGTGGCTCCAGCACTTCCAGGATGTGTGCTATGGAGTAACTCCTCTATGGCCTTTGTTTCTACAGGAGGACTTTGGTCCCAGGCTGGGCCAGAGAAGACCCAAGTTTGAGTTCTCTGATGAGCAAAGAGACTCTGCCACGAAACAGGCACATGACACACACACCCCTCCTCCTCCTGCTAGCTTGAGTAAAAATGCTGCCCCTCCCTCCTTCCTCACCTATCAGGCTCAATCTGGCTCAGACTGTAACTGCTTTTCTTTCTAAAGCCGCCTGATGGCTGCAGGCTTAGCCCGACGGGATGGGGGGGAGAGGGGGGGGGGGATGAGCCACCTGGGAACTTTGGTATCTGATCAGGTCAGGGAGTTGGGGATTGAAACGGGCACGCCTCACCTTTCTAGTCCACCCCAGGCTAGTCTTGACCCTGGAAAATTCCCAAGAATTTGCTCAGTTGCCTGGAGGTCCCTATCGAGCAGAGCAGGCAGGTGTTGAGCTTAGGGAGAGGGTCTGTACAGCAACCAGGCACCAGGGGGCAGCCTTACCCTATTCTTACCCCCTACCCATAGGTTACACGCCCTACCCACCCCCACACCAGGCAAAGGGTGGACTGACTGGAGTATCATGGAGTCCCCTCCTCTACCTTGGTGACAAATTGGAACGCTGATCCTCAACCAGGCAAGCTATCCTTTGCTCACTCTGGAGACACACAGAAATTGGTCACACCCAGAGCTGACACCTGGACTCTTAGCCTATCTTTGGGGAGGCCTAAATGTCTTGAGGAGACAGCTCAGTGCTTCTGGCAAAGTTCCACAGAACCCCTGGAGGCAGATCTCCCTCTCCAAGCCAACGCAGAGATAGTTAGTACTTCAGGAGACAACCGACAAGGGCACCTACTTTGGTGCAGGTACCAAGAAACTTTGCACCTGGATACCCAACTCTCCCTAGGTCCTAATTGGGAGACATGAGGCAGGTTAGATGAACCTTGGTGAAGGACGGTCCACCAGGAAGGGAGACTCCAGGCTAGAAACAGTAGAGGAAAGGAGAAGGACTTAGGATGTCTGGAAGTCAGCCAAGGACTCCGTTTTCCTGGTAGTTCATTAAAACCTGAGGGGACTTTGGCCCCACCCGGGCCAGGTGATCCTGGAACGACTAGCGGCTCGGCCCACTGAGGAGGAGGTGCTGGCCCAGCGCCCCAGGTAGCAGCCACCCTGCTCCGAACTAAAGCTGCCTCTCCCGAGGAGGAGGTAGGCGGAGTGACGGGGAGGGCGGGATGGAGGGGGGGAGGGGAACAGCCGGATCGTGGGGGTGGGGCGACAGTGACATCACCGGGAGTTGGTTCTTAAGCAGCAGCCGGTAGCGCCGGGAAAGAGACGGACAGTTGGAGTGCCTTGGCGAATCTGAGTCCGCCGCAGCCGGAGAGCGGCTGTAGCAGCCGCCACCGGGAAGGAGGGGGCGAGGCGAGCCCGGGGCCACCAGAGCCGCTAGCTCCAACTGAGCCGCGGGCGAGGACAGCAGCGCGGAGCTGGGCCGGGGCCGGGGGGCGCGGGCCGCAGGCCCCTTGCTCCGGCCGCCGCTTGCAGACAGTGGGCTTTCGATGCTACCCGCGGCGCGCTAGGGTGAGCCTCCGGCCAGGCGAGCAGTCGCCGCCGCAGCCGCCGCCACCGGAGCGGCGGGCAGGAGTCTCGGGAGCCGCCGCCGCCCGGTCAGGCTCCACCGCCGCCCGCGCGCTCCCGGGCCCCCGACACACATGAGATTCTTCAGGCTCACTTTCAAGTGTTTCGTGGACTGCTTCTGACTGCGCCGCCCCCGCCGTCCCGCACCCCGCCCGCCCGCCGCCTCGTCCCCCGGCCCGGCCGCCCCCGAGGCCCCCGGGCGGGCCCGTGCTTTCGGGGCCCTCTCTCCAGGTGCCGCCGAAGCCCCTTGCCCGCCCGCCACCCTCAAGGCGCCGCGACCCCCGGCCCGGCCTCGCGGCCCCAGGGACCATGGCGAAGAAGAGCGCCGAGAACGGTATCTATAGTGTGTCTGGTGACGAAAAGAAGGGTCCTCTCATCGTGCCCGGGCCCGACGGTGCCCCAGCCAAGGGCGATGGCCCCACGGGCCTTGGGCCGCCCGGCGCCCGCCTTGCCGTGCCACCACGAGAGACCTGGACACGCCAGATGGACTTCATCATGTCGTGCGTGGGCTTCGCCGTGGGCCTGGGGAACGTGTGGCGCTTCCCCTACCTGTGCTACAAGAACGGTGGAGGTGAGTGCCCCCGCCCCTGAGCATCCCGGCTTCTCATCAGGGGTCAGTTCCCACCCCCAGCCTGCCACAGGCCCACCAGAGCAGTGGGGTTAAGTCCAGAGGGTGGGGAGGCCCGCCCAGAGCGCGTGGGGGCCATAGTGCCCCCTCACCGGCCAAGCACTCAGTGACCCAGCGCACCAGCCTCCACCCCCCTCACCGGTCATGTGCCTGGCAGTGGAGGGGGAAGCTATTAAGGAGAGCTTCCTGATGAACTGAGGGGGGTTCTTCCCAGACTTCCAGCCCAGACTGGGAGTGATTGGCCACTGAGGTGGGAAGGGAAGGCCTGCCCCCAGTGGAGGGGACTCCGGGAGGTGAGGAGCCCAGCCTGCCCCCGTGGGTCAGGCACACAAGTGACACATTGTGTGCCCCCCCACGTGTGCACACAAGAACACACACAAACACAATGGGCCACTCTGTCCCCCCTCCCCCACGCTCTCCCCTCCCCTCCCTTTTCCCTTCTCTTCCCTCCCCTCTGACCCAGGTTTGGAACACTTGGTGCTTGAGCCAGGCTTGGGAAGTCTGCGGCCTGGCCCGACTGGCGCCGCCACTAGACAAGCTACATGCACATCCCATGCCCAGTTGCTGAAGCTCAGCTTAGCAACAGTAGTGGGCACTTACTTGCCTGTCCTGGAACTGCAAAGCAGAACTGGATTCCTTGGGAGCTAAAGCAGCTAGGTGATGGGTGGGAAACTGAGTCCGTGAGGGAAGGCCTCTAGCCCAAGGTCACACAAGGAAAGGATGCTGGGAGCAGGACCCACCTGGCAAACTGCAGTTTAACTCCATTACTGAGTAGCTGAAAGAGCTGAGCCTGAGCAGAGTAGGGGGTCCTAGAGAGCAGTAGGGGGAAATAGGTCAGAGCTGCAGCTGCTCTGTTCTCCCCTCCTTGCTACTAGCCCATCTAATTACTGAAATCTTGCCTTGGTCCCTTTCCTTGTCTACCTTTGTCCTACACCAATACCCCCATTAGCAGAGGCTTGCCACCCACCCATCTTTCTCCTGTGACCCTCATGAGTGCAAAGTACAGGGTAGTTGGGCACACTGCCTTTGAACAAGCCCCCAAGACTGAACACCCAGCCTGGAAAACACACGCGCGCACACACACACTCCCTAGCCATTCCATCCTGTTCTGCTGCCTGCCAAAAAAAGATGGTCTGTATGCATAAGCCTGGGTGGTTTTGATGCCTGTGAAGTCACCCTAGGTGGTGTCCACAGGCCAAGGACCCCATGGTACAGCAAATACTGTGCCTCCTCTCACCAAACCTATAGTAGATCTCCTGGGACTGTTCACCTTGAGCCTCTGAGTCAGTGACCACTCTTGCACTGATTCACCCAGTGGGAAGTCATGGGACTGGGGCTCTGCCTGGGCCTTCTAGGACTTTGGAGGCCGGGCTGGTCTGTGAGGCCTGGACAGCTTGGCTGAAGGGTTTGGGTTAAGTCCTTGCCTACTGTGGAGGCTCATTGGGATACATCACGAGTCCACTCTATGCTTTCTCCACTAGGTGTGTTCCTTATTCCCTACGTCCTGATTGCCCTGGTTGGAGGAATCCCCATTTTCTTCCTGGAAATCTCACTGGGCCAGTTCATGAAGGCCGGCAGCATCAATGTCTGGAACATCTGCCCTCTATTCAAAGGTGAGCCATCCTGAGCCAATTCTCAGTACTCCTTTTTTCAACTACTGGGACTAGGGCAGGGGACCAGAGTATAGCTATGATCCACATGAAGAAATCTTGCCTAGGTAATACCCTCCCAGGCTCAGGAGAGAGTCTGCAGTTAACTAGAGTCAGGAACTAGGGTGGAGTGGCAAGCTTGCTTTTTTAAGAAAAGGATGAAGCAGAAACAGTTAAGCTTAGGGACAGGACCTGTTGGACACACTTGACTCACTGCAGAGGTCCTTGTCCTTGCCTTCTGTAGCTGCAGGGTGGCAGTGGGACCTGGGAAAGGGACAGCATTTGAAGCTGGACTAGCAGCAGCAGAATATAATAGCTACACAAGGTAGGAGAGGAGGGCTGTCTAGCACTGGGCTAGACAAAGGAGCTGAAGCACAGATATTAGTAGAGGAACATGGCAAATGTTAGCGGGAAACAGACAGGAAAGGTAGCCCACTGTTGGAACACACAGTCCAAGTTTGGAGAAGCCTCTGGCAGGATAAAGGGAAGTAGAATACAGGGAAGGAAGGAGACATGCAAGAAGCAAGCTGTCAGGAACTCAGCAAGAATCAGTGCCAGCTCTGGAAAGGGAGATAATGGGGGTGGTAGAAACATGGCCATAAAGAAGCCCAGAATAAAAGGAAGCTTCTCACTCATCCTTAGGCCTGGGCTATGCCTCCATGGTGATTGTCTTCTACTGCAACACCTACTACATCATGGTGCTGGCCTGGGGCTTCTATTACCTGGTCAAGTCATTCACTACCACTTTGCCCTGGGCCACATGTGGCCACACCTGGAACACTCCTGACTGTGTGGAGATCTTTCGCCATGAAGACTGTGCCAATGCCAGCCTAGCCAACCTCACATGTGACCAGCTTGCTGACCGTCGATCGCCTGTCATCGAGTTCTGGGAGTGAGTCGGGTGCCTCTGGGCCAAGCCCATCCTATCTCATCCCTTGGGCTCTCTATATGTGGCCAAGCCCTGGGGCACATGGCCAGGGATGCAAAACAACCCACTCCTGGGTTTTGTCTGTCCCTATGGTCCTGGAGCTTATAGACATTGCTCCTACAGCAACATGTCATTTGCCATTGCCCTATCAAGTTTACCTGGCTAAGGAGCTGAGACTGCATATTTGCAGAAGGTTGGGGTGAGGATGATCTGGGGTAGTCAGTCCTACAGATCAGGGCTGTGGTGAGGGAGGACCCATATACTCCAAAGCAAATCCCAGTCACTGTGCCCTCTGCTGACATGACCCTCAGGTGCCCTCTTTTCTTTTCTACCCTAGGAACAAAGTCTTGAGGCTCTCTACGGGGCTGGAGGTGCCAGGGGCCCTCAACTGGGAGGTGACCCTGTGCCTGCTGGCCTGCTGGGTGCTGGTCTACTTCTGTGTGTGGAAAGGGGTCAAGTCAACAGGAAAGGTATAGCTGGAAGCAGGTGGGGGGGCAGCATTGCCTGGGAGGGACACAAACACAACAGGAGGTGACTATACTGGGGCTCAAGCCTATAGAGTAGACAGGTCTTTATTGTCACCCTGTTGATGGGCATTATTTCTCGTAGCCTTCAGACCTGAGGGTGAAAGGTCAGGCCATACCTACCCTTCCCCATGTCCACCACTCCATCTCAACCCTTTCTCTTTCCTTCCGCCTCTCTCTGTTTCTCCCTACTTATCTCTAGATGCCTAATCTTTGGGGCTCTCCTCACCTCTATGATCCTCAGGCCCCCCAGGAAGACTTCATATAGCCCTCCTTCAGAGGTTCCCTCTCAGGTTACAGATACAGATGAACCAACATATTAAAACTGCTAAGCCATGGAACATGGTCAGGTGCCTAGAGGGCCAGATTGCAAACATTCATTCCCAACAGGGTCCTCAATGGCTGTCTTCCTCCCTCCCTTTCCTTCCTTCCTTCTCTCATCACCAATAACACTGAGCTATAAAACCAACCCTGTCCTCTTGCCCATCTAGAATCCCTAGCTGCCATGGACCCCACTGCCCTATCAAGGATGCCTTGGAGTTTGGGACCACAGGGCTCTGAGGAATATGTACTTATTACAATCCCATGTAACATTGCCACAGATTCTCCTTGCCGAAACTCTGCAAACCTTCCTGTCCTTATAGGCATGTCCCCACATGGACATACTGAGAAGTTGCCCGTCAGGAGAGTTCACATTTTCTCACTCCCCCATGGACTGATTTTCCTCTTTATACATTAGATGTGCCTAGGGACCCTCACCTTGGAATGCCATGATCCTGTCTCTCCCCTCCTACAGCTGACTAGTGCCTGCTATGAGGCTGCCTGGGCTCCAGGCTGGCCCCTAGCTTCCCTGGGGATGGTTGGTCATTTAGGAATAGAATGAGTGCTACTGGCTTTCCTCACCTAAATTCTGAGCATGACTGCAGTTTGGGGAGACTGTGGCCACTTAAGGGGAGCAGGGGTTCGGAACCTGAGCACCCTGGCCCCCTAGATCGTGTACTTCACTGCTACATTCCCCTACGTGGTCCTTGTCGTGCTGCTCGTGCGAGGGGTGCTGCTGCCTGGAGCCCTGGATGGCATCATCTACTATCTCAAACCTGACTGGTCGAAGCTGGGGTCCCCTCAGGTGAGGAAAGGTGCTTTATGACAGCAAGACTGGGGGGCACAGCCTGTTGAGTAGGGTCCTTTATGACTCTGATCTTTGCCCATCCCTTCCAGGTATGGATAGATGCCGGGACCCAGATTTTCTTCTCTTATGCCATCGGCCTGGGGGCCCTCACAGCCCTAGGCAGCTACAATCGCTTCAACAACAACTGCTACAAGTAGGCACCCGCCTCTGCCCTGCCTGCCCTGCCTTGCCCTGCCCTGGAGCAGTGGGGCTGCCTAAACCAGAACATTCTGCCCCTCCACCCCCAGGGACGCCATCATCCTGGCACTCATCAACAGTGGGACTAGCTTCTTTGCTGGGTTTGTGGTCTTCTCCATCCTGGGCTTTATGGCCACAGAGCAGGGTGTGCACATCTCCAAGGTGGCAGAATCAGGTGAGCTGCCAGACCTCAGCCCACCTCCAGACCTGCAGAACTACCCTGATGTAGGGCATGCACAAAAGCATTCTGAAACGTGACAGACGAGTTCAGCTAGCTGTTGAGATGGCTCTAAGCAGCTGAAACAAGGCTGTTCTCTGGAGCCAGGAGGGCCTCCTGCCACCTACCTCTAAGGCTGCAGGGTGTGTCTTCATAGTGGTTGAGTACTGGAGATAGAAAAGGAGCTGCTCCTTCAGCCCCTGCTGTATCACCCCAGGGCAACCAGAAACTGCCAAGGCTGTTTGAGCCCAGGGAAAGTAGTGTGAGTCAGGAGGTCCTGCTAATATGGGGTGAGGCTACCAAGGACCACAGCCTTCCAGACTATTGGTGTGAGGTACCTGTAGGACCTCAATGGGTCTAGCCATGCTGAGGCACAAATAGCCCCCAAGTTTTTATTATCTGGGGGATGGGCATGACCTTGAGCGTCAGGGTACTCAGGATGGTGCTGAGGGCCAGTCTCACCCTGCATCTTTGCACTCAGGGCCTGGTCTAGCCTTCATTGCCTACCCACGGGCTGTCACACTGATGCCTGTGGCCCCACTCTGGGCTGCCTTGTTCTTCTTCATGCTGCTGCTGCTCGGTCTGGACAGCCAGGTTTGCAGGAGCTCTAGGGCAAGAATGGGGTAGGGGCTGGTGGTCAGGGGGCTTGGCACATTGGGCAAGAGATGCACGGGGACATGGGAGACCTGGGCCTGAGCTGCCCTGGACACAGTTTGTAGGTGTGGAGGGCTTCATCACCGGGCTACTGGATCTCCTCCCGGCCTCCTACTACTTCCGTTTCCAAAGGGAGATCTCCGTGGCTCTCTGCTGTGTCCTCTGTTTTGTCATCGATCTCTCCATGGTGACTGATGTGAGTAGGGTAAGGTGGGCTACTACTGTCAGTCTCCAGCCATGGGCCATCATCTTTCCTGACCTGGCTCTGTTCTCCAGGGCGGCATGTACGTCTTCCAGCTCTTTGACTACTACTCAGCTAGTGGCACTACCCTGCTGTGGCAAGCCTTTTGGGAGTGTGTGGTGGTAGCTTGGGTTTACGGTAGGTCAGGGTGAAGGGCTGGGCTAGAAATTGTAGGGTGGAATGGAAGGGGGTAGTCTCCAACTCTATCCTTCCCATCTACCTCACCCTATTCCAGGAGCTGACCGCTTCATGGATGACATTGCCTGTATGATTGGGTACCGACCTTGCCCCTGGATGAAATGGTGCTGGTCCTTTTTCACCCCATTGGTCTGCATGGTAAGACTGGGGAAGCTAGGCAAGTGGGGTGGTGTAATGGGGCCCCAATGACTGAAGACACATGTCCACACAGGGCATCTTCATCTTCAATATTGTATACTACGAACCACTGGTCTACAACAATACTTACGTGTACCCATGGTGGGGCGAAGCCATTGGCTGGGCCTTTGCACTCTCTTCCATGCTGTGTGTGCCCCTCCACCTCCTGGGCTGTCTCCTCAGGGCAAAAGGAACCATGGCAGAGGTAAGGTCCCTATCCCACTCTTTCCTGGGAAGGGCAAACTGTCATCCAGAAGCACAGCCAGCTCAGACTACAGAAGAAAAGCTAACCTATCATGGCTTCATGTGGAACCAAGGAAGCAAGGCCCACCTCTCACTTTCCACACAAGGGCCACTTAACCCTGCTTCCCATTGTAGGGAGCATGACCTGGAAGGGTGCCCTAAGAGAAACAGACCTGCCTTGGTGGCAGGTAGCAGAAGCTATTGCCATGGGGTAGAGCAAGTGACTCATGGGAGGCTGGCTCAACGTGCTCTCCTCTCCCACAGCGCTGGCAGCACTTGACCCAGCCTATCTGGGGCCTCCACCACTTGGAATACAGAGCTCAGGATGCAGATGTCAGGGGCCTGACCACCCTGACTCCAGTGTCTGAAAGCAGCAAGGTTGTCGTGGTGGAGAGTGTCATGTAATAGGCATCCCAGCTCACATCACCAGCTCATCCTTTGGTAGCCATAGCAGCCCCTGCTTTAGCCTCTACCCATCCCACCAGGGGGCTTGCCTTTCCTTGACAGTTCGGGGGTCTGCCTGGGGGGGGAAGGGGAGGAAGCACCATGAGTGCTAACAAAAATAACTTTTTCCATTTTTAATAATAAAACGCCAAAAATATCACAACCCACCAAAAATAGATGCCTCTCCTCCCCAGCCCCCAGCCACGCTGGTACTTGACGTTGCTTCCAGGTCCCACCTCCTGTCCTTCCTCTCAGTTCCCAGGACCCACCTCCTAGCCCTGCCAGCCCCGCCTGCCTGCCTCCTAAGCTCTGCTCTGTACCACACCTTCACCCTGCAAACTACAGTGGCAGCTTGGGGAACAGGAGAGGAGGGAAAGAATAAGGTGGGACAGGAGGGTAGGCAAGAGAGGGACAGTGGAAACAAGGCAAATGTTTCAGCTGGATTAGACCCCTCTTCCCACCCCTAGTCTAGAAGCTAGAGAGCCAGTCAGCAATGGAACCTTGTGTTCTTGCGCCAATTGCCACCAATATTAATTAACTGTATGAGCTTGGGTCTGAATGTGTGTGTGTGTGTGTGTGTCTGTGCACGCATGTGCGTGTATAGAAGATGTATAGGTCTCTTATCTTTTAGTGAAGGTGAATACCAGAAGTTAAACAGAGCCTCTGGGCAAAGGAGGCTTGTATTTTGCACATTTTATAAGAAAAAAAAAACTGAGAGTGAGACTTCTGCTTGTATATTTCTAAAAAGCCCCAACCACCCCCACCTTACCACTCCTCTCCTTCACATCCCCACCTTTCTTCTCTGACCCTAGCCAAGGAGTGTGAATTTATACTTAACTTTCATAGGCAAAACAAAAGCTTCAGGCTGTTGACTATGTGAGTCTGTTGTATGGATGTTTTGTATGGTCTCCAGCTGAGACTGGAGTGGGTAAGTGGGAGCCTCAAGGGCATCCCCACACTATCCTTTGCCCCTAAGCCTATGGGGTAAAAGGCTACAGCATTGTCCCAGGGATCTGGGTCTGCTCACCTGGCATGCTCAGGCTTGCCCACACCCTGTTCCTGGGCTGGGTATGATTGCAGGGATCGCCCAAGGAAGGGATCCTGGGCACAGCTCCCACCTCTGAGCTAAAGGCTGATGTACTTTTGACATCTCAAGTCTTCCGTAGCAGCTTTTAAACTCACATCTATGTCCTGTCAAGCCTGAAATAGCCAAGTAGCCCCTAGAAAGGCTTCCTTCACACAGGGCTAGACTAAGCCAGGGAGATGGGGCTGGGTAAGAGTACAGGCCTTTGGGGACATTCTTACTGTGCTAAAAAAGCCACTGCAAACATAGCAATAAAAACACTTCATTTTCCAAGACTGGCTCCTGCTTCTGCTTCTCTGGAAGATGGATAAGGTGGGGAGATAGTTGTGGGGACCTTCCTCCAGCTCCAACTCGGCATTAGGTAAGGCCCAGTGTGAGGAGCTCTACACCTAGCACCATGCCAGAAACTGGAAAAAGAGTGGGGAAGAAATGCAGGAATAAAGCCTCAGTCCCCCAGAGTGAAGAGCATGGGGTGACATAAGTTCAATAGGAACAAATACAGCAGAGAAGGGAGGCTGCAGCCAGGAGTTGCTTGCTCTAAGAATCTTACCGAACCAGGCATGATAGCTTGTGGCTGTAAGCCCTGCATTTTAAAGATCAACAGAAGTGTGCTCCTGAGCAAGTAGCTTTCCAAGATCGAAAAGTAAAGGGTACACTGGGAGCACAGACAGTAAGATGTAACTTTGATCCATGGACTAGGGACCGGCATCTGGACCTGGTTTGTGGCACCAGTTAGTGGGGTAGAGGGGGTTCTTTGGATTGGGATCTACTTTGCTGGCAGGGCCAGAAGGGGTTGTAGATGACTACAGGATGCAGGACTGAAGAGTCAAGACAAACACCAGAGATTTGGCTTGAGACACAGGATGAATGGTGCTGCCAGGTCCTGTGATGACAACTGGGAGTTGGCTTTGGGCATGTCTTGTTGTCCAAAGGAAGATCTCTGGTTGGCAAATGGACACAGGAGTTTGCAGTTCTAGAAAATCTGGCCTGGAGCTAAAACTTCTAAAGTTCTCAGCTGGGGGTAGAGCATAAGTGAGTACAAAGGGAGACTCAGCCTGGCTGGCCAACAAGGATTAAGATGGTGCTATAGTTCACTGTGTATTAAAGAGATTGTGGAGACTTGGACAAGAGTGGTCTTGGGCCACATGCAAAAACCTCACTAAAAATTGCAATAAAAGAAGTCAACCGGGCCAGGTAACAAACCTGTCAAATCAGCTACTCAGGAGGCTAAAGCAGGAAGACCAAAAGTTTAAGCTTGTGCTGCAGAGTGAGTTCAAGGACAGTCTAGTAGCTAAGGATATGATCAATGACAGAGAACCTAACATATACAAGGCCCTGGTTGTCAAAGGTGTGGAGCATGGTAGGGTGGTGAAGTTAGCTTAGCCTGGCAATCCCAGCTATTTGGGGAGCTAAGGCAGGGGAATCATAAATTCAAAGTCATCCTGGGCAACATACGGATTGTTTCAAAACATATAAAGGAGATAGAGGTCAGAAGTAGAACACTTGCCTAGCATGTGTAAGACCCTAGGTCTTACAATGAATAGAACAAGGGAGGAACCCAAATATACATGAATGAATTAAAGTATGGCTTATTCATAAAATATAGTATTACTTAGCCTGAAATAGGAAATTGAGATATATGCTACATGGGTGGCCCTGAAGGACATGATTGGTGAAATGAGCCACTTACAAAAAAACATTGTATGATTGTACTCACAAGAAATTCCTCTAACAGTCAAATCCATCTCTATGGATGATGAGTACCAGGGGTTGGGGTTAAGGGAACATGGTTTAATGGAGACAGCTGCAATATGGGGAGATGAGCACTTAATTGTGATGTCCAACTGCTTAATGCCATCAAACTATGCACTTGAAAATGGTGAAGATGTGTAATGTGAATTCTAATTGGTCTTAATAATAAAAACATGGAGCCAGATACCAGGGTAAATGCTGAAAGATCAGAGAAGCAAAGGAGCAAGCCACTAGAGAGAGAGACTTCTTAACCTCTACCGATCCTCAGACAGAAAGGATGAGCTCCTGTCTCCTGCCTTATATCTCTCTTTCCACCCAGCCATAATCCTGTCTCAAACCCTGAGTGGCAGGATTAAAGGCATGTGCCTCCCAATTACTGGGATCAAAGGCATGAGATCCAAAGTGCTGCAATCAAAGGTGTGTGCCACCATGCCTGGCCTCTATGGTTAACCAGTGGCTAGCTCCACCTTCTGATCTTCAGACAAGCTTTATTTGTTAGAGCAAACAAAATATCACCACAAAGAAGTTTTATGTGTTACAAGTATATGAATTTATGTTTTACCATAATATAAAAAGGTGATACAAGACAGGTCTTGGAAGGGAGGGACGTAGTGCACAGAGGTCAGCCTCTGATGAGTATGTTGTGCCACAGGAGAAACCAGACAGCCCTAGTTCTGTTATGTGCAAAGTGGTTGTGTTCTGTGCAGAGCAGGAAGCAGGCATCACCTGGTGCAGGCTATAGCCTCCCTGTCCCCTTCTTAGCACTCTTACTCAGTTTCTTTATTCCTTCACAGACCCTGTGCTCTTGTCCAGAGTGCTACTCCCAATCTCCCTCTTGCTCTCATCCCTAAGTCTCAGCCTGTTATCTTCAGCTGCAGAAGATCTTTGCAAAGTCCAGTAGACTTTTCCCCAGGCCCTCATACCAGTCTCTCTCTCTCTCTCTCAACTAACTCCACCCATGAGGAGCTTAGAGTCTCAGGCTTTCTCCACCAAGTATCTATTCTGGATAAGAACCCTAGTGGGGGTCACATTAAAGGCCTTCCCAGCAAACTGTCACAACACCAAATACAAAAAAATGGTAGCATCACAGAGTTCACTTTGTGCTTCACTGGATGCTACAATAGATGGGGCCTATTTACTCAGGAAATCGGCTTTTATACAAGGGTTTAGGAAACTGAGACCAAAAAGTTCAAGCAGAGTGAGAAAATAGAGTGGAGAACCATCAAACAGGCTGTCCCAGGAGCTGGGCCAGAGAGGAGAGTGGTCAGGGTTGGAGTAGAAAAGCAGGAGAGGTGATCTGGACTTTAGCCTTCCAAAGCACAGACAAGCAAGCTTAGGGAAGCCCAAAGTAGTCCGGAACACTTCCTGGAAAAGCAGACTAGTCCTATGCCTTGGCATAGCAACCAGAGGGTGTTACCTCTACCCTCATGGGCACTGCCTCTAGACTGCTGGGAAAGGGGCAGCCTCCTTACAGGGCAGCCATGCTTTGAGGATGGGTAAGAGTGACAGGGTGCTTGGGAAGGCAGCTGCTTGGCCTAATCCCAGACAGAAGTAGGAACACAGTTATTTGTCAACCTCTAGCCACTATCAACATCTTCAGGAGTCACTCCAATCCCAAAAGACACTAACCAGCTCCCACAATCCCTCTTTAGTCTTCACAGACAGTAGGCATAGTACACACCCTGAGCAGGAAGGCTAACAGGGAGGAGGGGGTGACAAGCATCTGATCAGGAACAGGCCCTTTCTTGTGCCTTGTCGGAGGGAAGCTTAGCTGCAGGCTGATCTTGCTCTAAGGAAGTAAGCAATGAGGGCATGGACCTGTCAGAAAAACAAGTCAGTGCAGAGGCAGGACCCCATCCCATCCTGTAAATCTTCATAGTCAGTGGGCAGTAGAGAGACACAAGCACTCTGCAGTCCCTTCTTGATTGCCTTGCAGCCCCTCTCTATAGCCTTATTCTGCCCTAGCTAGTTCTAGGTCACTGCCAAGGACAGTCTCCTCTCCCAGTCAGCATTAGTCAGAGGTCACGCTGTAAACCTTCAGGAGGGGGTTGGGCAGCGAATGACTGGTGGCGCTCTGCCACATTCTATCTGTCCCAAATGTGATGAATAGGAACCCAGAGAAAGTAGCAGGAAGTCCTGCTGGTTTACCTGGCTTTCCAGACAGTTACCAGCTCCCAGGGAGGCTGACAAGACAGACACTCCCTAAGAGCCATAAAGTGGAGTTGTCCTGGTTGAAGCGGAACAAGAGGGGGAAGAACGGGCAAAGAAAACAGGAGTTTTGAGGGCAAGCGTGAGCCTGCTCTTCAAGGGCTAAGAACAAGTCCAAGGAAAGGAAGAATGTCACACTGAACCTGTGCAACCTTCTGGACACTCTTCAGTTTTGAGAGAGCAGAAGTAGAACCATCCCCAAAACCTCAGACACAAACAGCTTGTAACCTAACAACATTTATTGTCCTCAGGATAAAGCAGTTGACCTGCCTCACAACCACCTTAAGGACATACAGCAAAATAAATGGGGCTCAACTGCAGGCCAGGTCACAAGTGCTCTTCTACACTTCTAGGACTGGAAAGTGCCCTGGCCAGGCAGGACCATGGCAAATTACTCCAAATGAGCAACATTCAGGTCCCTTTTGGTTTGATGGCAGGTATGTGTAAAGGAGTCAAAATAATGATCTGTAAGCTGTGGGAAAAAAACTGGGGAAGTAGAAGGGGATAAAACCAAGTACCAGAGGGAGAGGGTAAGCTCTCAGTAGTAAACAGTGAGCATGGATCAGGAGGAAGCCAGTTGCAGGGAGGGGGAGAAACAAGCCTTTACTCCTCCTTCTTGTCCGAGGGACCACGTACTAAGGCCTAGAAAAGGAAAGAAACCCCAAAGAAGTTAAGTTAACAGAGCCTATCCCCAAGCCCTTGGACCTTTAGTATTATGCCCCCAAACACTTGGTTCTTCTCTCCTGTTAATAGCAAGTACCCAGGCAAACAAGGTACCCTACCCTCAACAGTACCCAAAAGCTTGCCAGGGTGAGTGTATCAGCCCATTCATCCACTAGGGAAGACCCTGTACCTACTGCCAGGAGAGGATTGGCAGGACCTCAGGGAACTGAGCCCCATCAGGTGCAGTGGCAGCTGGAGGTGATAACTGCAGCTCTCTTTTACTACAATGAGAGCAGAACCAAGACCTCCTCTAGAGCACACAGCAGACCACCAACCATAAGTTCCAATTTGGGGCCTTTCCACCATTGTGTGCTACGCACTGGTGTTCTTAAAACCCATATCCTTAGGGGTCAGGAGATAGTATCTGTCATAAAAGCGTGAGGACCTAGGTTCAATCCCCAGAACACATAAAAAGACAGGTAAAGTAGAGCATACTTGTTATTCCAGAGTTGGGAGACATATGAGGCAGATCTCTATAGCTAGTCAGCTTAGTTTACTTCAAAAATTCTAGACCAATAAGAGATCCTGTCTCATAAAAATAAGTTGGATAGCTCTTGAAGAGTGATACCAAGGTTTTCCTCTGGTGTCCATAGTCATGTGTGGA